CCTCAATATCTTCTTCCTCCTCCCTTTTTATCATATTAACTGCCTTCCTCCTGGGACAGTCACTGGATCTATGTCCAACCTCATTACATTTAAAACATTTAATAGGAGCAGGCTTTGCATAAGGGTTACTGGGTTTAGGAGGGTTGGAAGGATTACCTCGAGTATCTCCTCCTGTAGTAGCCTTACCGGCGTTATTTGTGCTTGCCGGGTGAGAGGGTTGCACTGCTGGGACTGATTTGTTCCTGTCGATAGTTGCCGGTCTGTTGTCGCTCCCGCTGTACTGGCGGTAATTATCACTGCACGCCTTGTCTTGGAACATTAATTCTGCTTTCATAGCTAAGTTCCTTGCTTCCTGCATTCTAAGAACCATTTGTACACCAATTTTGTCCCTAATGGACGGTCTTAACCCGCTCAGATAACGGGTTGCCTGCTGGTTATCACTTTCAGACAACTGGTTTCTTTCTGCTAATCTTAAAAATTCTGATGTGTACTCATTAACACTACAGGAGGTAAAAATCTACCTCTGATTAATTGTTTCATGCGCCTCCAGGTTCGAACAGGACCCCTTCCTTCTCTGATCAGGGTCTCTCTCATCCGTTCCCACCAAACAGATGCGCCTCCCTTTAATCGGAAAACTACCAGTTTTACCCTTTGTTCCTCTGGTATCTCCATGTAATCAAAGAATCTGTCGACTTCTGTGATCCAATCCAGAAGTCCTTCTATGCCAAGGTCTCCACTAAAGGTAGGAATATCTACTTTAAGTTTGAATTCATCATTATTCCTACGGGGATTGAAAATACATTGGTTATGCCAATTTCTGCCGTTTCTGTTGTTGTCGGGAAGAACTGGAGCACCACAAAATTCTAAATCATCATCATTGTCGTCGTCCAGGACTGGTCATCAGAATGCAGTATGGACGGGTGGTCTGTCATGGTCGTCTCCCTCGATTTGCTGTGGATGTTCCCGGTTCTATGGAGCAACCTCCCGTAACAAGGTTCACAGTTGTTCAGCCATCTCTGCCAACTGCTGCTCGATGTTACGTGTTGCCATACACTGTTCTTCGATTGCTCTCCAAACAGCTAGAAACCCCTAATCTCCGTCACGGGGTGGGTTACGACTGCTACCGTCTGGGTTGGACATGACTGGGTGAATTCCCTGTTCTCATACCACCTGACGCAGCGTAGAAGCAATGGAAACCGGAGCTGACTACGCAAGCACCGGGCGATCGCTAGTGTCTAGCGAGGAACACCGAATTCTCTAGGAGAGAGAAAAGGTGGCGAAAACTCAAAGAAGAAATCTTGAAGAAAATTCTGAAATATGAAGTATGAATTGATAAATAATTCTGGGAAAATAACAGTATTTATAATACATTTGGAAATTGTAAAGGAACTAGGAAAGAACATGAATCTTGGGCTTTCTTGATCTTGATCTTGATCCTCTTGGATTGTCTTGATAAGGTCGAACCTCCTTGGAATTCTTGGGCTTGATCTTCTACCGTCCGATCTCCTTGGCCCTCCTTATGCATGAATCTGGGTAGTCTTGCTAATCTTGATGCTTCTTGGAGTCTTGTTGATCTTGATTTCTTGATAATCTTGGAAGAGTCTTGCTTTATCTTGATAATCTTAGAAGAGTCTTGCCTTATCTTGATAATCTTGGAAGTTCTTCTTATCTTAACCTTATCCTAGGAGCTGCCTCCCCTAGGGGTGAGATAGGCCTTGTGATGGGCTTCCATCAGTAGTTGAAACCTTTATGGGATAGTATCAGATGCTAGAGCCACTGTAAGAGGGACTGAGCTTCATATGTACCTATTGCTGTTTAATTCCTTTGAAGAAGCCAAGCCACTGTAAGAGGGCTAATTAATTAAATAACTAGAACTTGATAAAAGAAAAGAAAAAAAAAGAAAACACAAGTGGCGGAGATCCTGGGGAGTTGCAGTCCTGGGAACCAGTTTATTGATCCGGTGTTCAACGACGTCAAACTAACCCTGAGCTCCTCCGGGACCATATCTTTTTGACAAAATCAAAATTTCAATTTTCTATTCGCTCTGGTTGGGGTTGGACCTTAGAATCCACTTCGCTTGTTGGAACAACACCTCTCTGGTCGGAGGTCAAGGCAGCAAAGGTCATCAGATCCTTCTATTCCAAATTTTGTTTGATCCCCACCACAATAATGTTTCAGATGTGGTCTCGTTCGATGTTGGGGGTTTATCTTGTTTGGAGTACTTGGAAGTGGCTCCATGCATGGTTCGAAGACAAAGAGGAGAAGGTGGCTTTGCTCTTGTCGCAGTTTCATTTAGAGGGAGTTAGTGCAGGTAGGCCTAAAGGGCAGAGATTGGGGCTTCCATCCACCGGGGATGTCCGGTGGCCATCTCAATCACCTTACACCCAAGAGCTTACACGTTGGTAGGGAATCCTTGTTCATCCCACAAGCATCTCGACAATAGATATCTGGTTTATCAAAGATGAACAAAGGGTAATATTGGGTTTTACATCATTTGATGTCACGTGTATATATATTTTAATGGAACATTAACGGACTTTAATAACAGAGGTATAGGTATAGCCAGTCAATTGTCAGAAACACTAGGAATAGTCTACGACACTAGTTCAATAGTAAAGATGCAATTTGTCAATTAACTAAACAATAAAGATAATTTAAGAAATTTTTAGGGAAATTTGTCCTAAAAAGATAAAGAAAAAATTTGAAAGGGTTCCGACCGGACTGGTGGAGATCACCAAAAATTATCAAAACAGTATGACGAGGCGCCTCAGTCATGGGCCGACCCTACATGATGTCGACTACACAACCCCCAACCTCACCCACCACAATATGAGATCGATTCTATTCTTACAGAATATTCTCTCTCTCTCTCTCTCTCTCTCCATTTAAGTTTCTTGGCATGCTACTTTACAGTTAGACTTTCAGCCTCCCACCACCAACCTCGCAAGACCATTTCCACTTATCCCATCTAACCCACATTTTAAGATAATTAACAACCAATCAAACACTAAAAAATTGAAATCAAATGATTTTATCAACCTCAATTAACACACATATATATAAAAGGAAAAATTACATGGGCGATGATGAAACTGATAAAAAAAATTCAGATGGCTGAGGATGTTTCAGACTATTGATGAACAACCGACGCTTGTCGATGTGTTCTGGTGCGGTACCAAGCTATCTACGTACACCGGCAGCCCGAGATTCATTAGGCTTTAAAGCGGCTATATCTTTGCTTTCCTGTGGAAGAGGAGGGGGCACGGCAAAGGAGGAGAGGTCCTTCATCTTCTCACTGTTGGGTAGGAAGTATGGTGTGGAGTTGGGTTCCCTTGGCTTTGATTGGGCCCCTTGTAAGGGCACCCTCTCTACGATTTGCTTCCTCAGTATGTCATGGAGTCTCCCAAACAACTTCTGCTTCACTGTCTCGAATGCTCTGTCAAGATTCTCGATCTGTGACATGTATATGATGTATTAATACACTATTAGATCATATTTGAACTGCCTAATTAGCTCATTAACTAATAAAACCACGTATGACCCTATAATGATTTAAGGGTATTTGTGTTTTTTCACATGAGAGTGATTTAATGGTTACACCACCTCACACCTCACATTGTAAATTCATGTATTGACTTGGCTGTATACAAAATTAATTTTGGTTATACATAAAGGGTAAAACGTGCTAATGGTGACTTATTACCAAATTATTTCAACTATTTTGTTGTGGGTTTGGCAAAGCTGGAAGGTCCAAGTCGTCTCTTTTTACTTGGTCATAATTTCAGTGCTTGCAACTTAAATATATATATATATATATATTCAGATTAGTGATTACAAAGGGGGCCTACCAAAGGTTAGCAGCCATCCCACCACAATTCCAAAATAATTGCAAATTGTAATATAAAGTTATCTCATAGGTTTCAATTTCAACCCTTGGAATCATTCAATTCAATTAAGAAATAACACTATAGTATTAATTAAAGTTTATTTGGTCAAATGGTCTAAGTATTCAATCCTTATCCCATTGTAAGAGTGGATTTTTATTTGTCCAAACGTTGAACAATTTCTTTACTGAAATACATGATAAATATATGAGAAAACATCAAGTAGCTTTGGTAGACTTGCCTGCTCAGTGGCGTTTACGTTGTACATGAAGAGCCCGTAGTAGAGATCGAAGCTATCACTCACAGTGTTTTCGGTCTGCATGAGAGTTGAGAGAGAAAGACAATCAGCACAAAAATTACATCAATACTGGAGCATTTTTTACCTTTATAAAGTAATTGATCAAATGGGTCTTAATTAGTAGAATTACCAGTTGTAAGAGTGTTTCATATCCCTTAGTGTTAATGGGTGTAGACTCCAAGTTCAGATGTGATAAGATCCTGAAGCAAATGAAAAATATTAAGATGACTCATTAATTCTTTTAAGTCTCAATATGTAATCAAGAGTGTGGTTCAAATTATCAAACAGTTTGTCAGCACTTTTTTCAGTTAAAATCACTAGCTACCTTCCAATGGTGTGGGTGATGAATTGGCTGCCTGCGGCATGGCGATCGTGTTCTTCGCAGGACATTTCGACCATTCGGCATCCCTGAAAATGAAAGAAAAGACCCTTCATTAATTAATTGGTGACGCTTGATTTGCCCAGAAAAATGCCATTAATTAATCTGATTAGACATTTTTGACCAATAAAAGATGTAATTGGTCGAATGGATAGGATTCTCCAACTTTCTCTTGGCCTTCCTTTGTTGACAATGACCAGGTCAAGAAAAAATCGACCGCGTTAAGGAAAAATGGAACTATGTTTTTTCTTCGTAGAATTACCAACCTCTTGCTCGAAGATGCTTAGGAACTGATCGCATTTCCGCTCCTGTGGAGTGTTTCCGGCAATCCGGACCTTGTCGTAGACGAACGGCAGCTTTGCCCACCCATGCATCCCACTCTCCGGTCCGAACATGGGATGTGTACAAACAATCCCGAATTCCGGTGGAAGCACCTGAAAGCAATTAAGAATTAATTCACTTAAGTAATGATTATGTTGATGAGTCAAAGTACCAAACAAATTAAACAACCAAATCTCAGCTCAAGTGGGTACCTCCAATAACAGATTTCTTGGGAACTGTTTGACTGATAAGACATCGGCGAAGATGGTATCAGGCCTCAGCTTGTGCATTGGGATAGTTCGGACCACAGTCTCGGTCGACAAAATAGAACTGCAAATTAGTATCACATCTGGCTGCTGTTCACATAACTGATCCATGTTTCTGTTGTCATCAAAATAAAAGTGTTTGATATTAGCTAGTCTGGTGCCAGCTTAAATCCATTAGTTCTCCCGTCGAAATGTTTAAAAGAGTGCAGGCAACATAAAGCAATCAATCAGACTCACCTGAAAAACTCGATCCCATGTTCTTCACAGTACTCGGAGTAATCGGAACGGGATGTTGCCAAGACGTTGTGCCCTTGTCGCCTGAGCCCCTTGGCGATGAACTGACCGAAGTTTCCGAACCCAACAATTCCAACCCGGAGAGGATCCTCCGGCTCGGCTTTGGGGGCCATGGATGGCTCGGAGATGGAACAATGGACGTGGTTCAAGATGTGGGCACGTCTCAGGGGAGCGGCTTGCAGTTGTAGTCCAGCTTTACCGAAAGAAGAGGAGCTTGATTTGTGAGGAATACTGAGGTGGTGGTTATTGGTGAAGGTGGTTTCGACTGCGGGAGGCAAATTTGGCCGGATTTGGGGTTTGCAGTGGCAGAGGTGGTGGAGAGAGGCTGCCATATTCCTTCCCTTACGCTTGCCAATGAAGAGTCAAAGATTCGGACTGGTCTCCTCCTCCTCTGAGCTCTGGCTTCTTCTTCCCAGGCACAAAGCTTCAGAGGTTGAGGTTCGAGGACATGCCTTGGAAGAGAGGATGATATTTATATAGAATAAGCTTGTTCTGCATTTACTTAAATATCCTCGACCTTTCTGGAGAACTACAGAATGCAACGGGCTTCCTAATTAGCGATGAATGATATTAAAAGATGGGGGAAACTTGTACGAAAATGTGATAAAATGGAGCTTGGAGATATGTTATACGACAAAGGTAGTTGCACAGTTGCACGAAATAGTCACGTGATGGAAATCTCTTCTCTTATGGCAGGCACTAGGCACTTAGGCAGGGGGCAAATTGACAAAGTCTTGGAAACGTTCAGGGTGGGTCTTCGTCATAAATGAAAGTTTGATGAGGGGTTAAGTGTTGCTACCGCTAAAGAAAATTGTGACAATCTGTAATTAAAAATAGATCCATGTGTGCGCTGCGTTGTTCTTTTCTGAATTCAGAAAACATGGTTGCTGTTTTTCGCTTTTTATTTCAAACAAATAACTAGAGCAATTAGAAACTACTACTAGTACTGGCCCACATGTCTATTCAATACAGCCCAAGAATGTAGCCACTTCCTCTCCGATCTCCACATCTCATCCAGCAGGGTTCAGATAAATGGGTCCTCTCTACCACACATGGAGCTCAGAGGGATATGTGAGTCCGGACTCTTAATATAAAACTCTCTATTTTTTTTTTTTTATCATCATCATAGAGGATTGATCTATTACATATTTACATAAATCCTATTTTACAATTTCATGTCATTGTCTATTGCAAAATTCATTGTCAGTTCGTCACATGTTCGTATAGAGAAAGAAAGGGAATTAATTGTTCAAATAAAGGAGAGGGTGGTCAATAGTCATGGATGTTAAGTAAAAGTTTTTAATTCTATCATCATTAAAAATATGTGACACTGAATGGACATCAATCCGGCCAGTGGGTCATGAGTCAAACGGTCCGACCATCTGGTGATGGTTTAACTTTACTCAAAATAAATAAATAAATAAATAATAGTCAAAACTTATACATAAGTCATCTTTTAAACCCATACATAAGTATATAGTTAATTATTTATGAAGACTATGAGCAAGCTAATATAAAACAAAAATTTGGGAGTGGGGGTTATAGTCCCTGACTCCCTGGTCCAAACGTTCCAACCAGCTGGTCCAGTCCAGGTCAATGACGTCCCGTAAAATCGGTCAAGCCATGTTACGTAAACCGTAAGCGCAACTGTTCAATATGATCAAGTTATCAACACGTTTTGAGAGATAGAGAGCATCATCAACTCACGGCTCACGAAACACGCAGGAATCCCTCCATCTTCCTTGGTTGGGGCGGCTGCCTACTGCTGTTCAAGTTCAACCCCCTCCAACCAATGGTCATTACCTACCCAGCCATGATTGTCTTACCTGATTACCATACGATCAGAATCTCGCGCCTAAAAATTTAGACTCATACCCATTGAATACTTCTCTCTCTTGTTTTATTTTGTAAATGCCATTGGATGGATCCTTCCTCCGACCGTCCAAGCATGGCTTCACGTTTTTCTTTTACTTCTCCCCTCCTTCAATTTTAATAATCATTTTGACATGTCAATATAACTTCCTGGAACAATCCCTTTCCCTCACAGTGATTTAGTTTAGGGTATTTTGGTAATTGAACAGTTTTGCATAGTTGGTTGCCGAGTGCCGACACATACAGCCAAAATTGTTTTGATAACCAGACCTGATTAGATGGTTGAAGTAGTTTCGACCGGAACCACGACCCTTTCTAGTTCCTAAACCACTCAGAAAAAAGCCCTTGCCGGCTGTGCATTTGGATCATCCCTTTTTTTTTTGTATTGATTACTTGTCTAGGGCTTACTCAGTTGAACGGTGAAATTATGACACCTGTTACCTCATGTCAATTAAGTGTGGCCTCTAACAATTAGACACCTCGAGCTAGCTATAACAGCTCGTTACTTACAGGAAGCTCGGCACTTACAGGCAGCTCGACATAGGCAGCTCGCCATAGGCAGCTCGCCATAGGTAGCTCGCCACTTACAGGTACCTCGTCATTTACAGGCAGCTCGCCTCCTATTAGGCCACGAAGACCTGCCTTGGGTAGAAGCACCTCGGCACATTACCGACAGCTCAGTGAAAAGCAGCTCGGTGAAAAGTAGCTCGGTGCAAAGTAGCTCGTTGCAGAGCAGCTCGGCGTATCGCAAGAAGATTTCCTACCAGACAACAGTACCTGCCAAATCTGGAGACCTACGCCCACGTCTCTCATCGTGCCTGCCAGCCCTGAGAGGTGTCCCTTGTCTGACAGGGCCATACTCTGCAACGGTTACCTGCGCCCACCAGCTCAGCCCTGGCAAGTAACGGCTGCGGCAGAGAATCAGAGGTGGTTACGCCAGATCTGTCAGAACACCGCTATATAAGAGCTCCGACCCCCCAGAGGAGGGGGGGGGGATAAAAAAGGAAGGTAACCCCTGCTCTCTAGCTCTCTCATTTCTCTAATATCATCTTTAAGCTCTCTACTATCAGAGTGCTAACTTAAGCATCGGAGTGGCCTCGCCGGGTAAATACCCCTAGGTCCTCTGATTCAGTTCTTGCAGATTATCCCATGTAGAGGGCAGTCGAGTTGCACTCCACCAGGGAGCTCGCCACCAAGGCAACGCACCCAGCAGCTCATCAAGGTAGCTCACCACCAGGGAGCTCGCTACCAAGTAGCTCACCACTAGGTAGTTCGCCATCAGGGAGCTCCACCATCCTCTGAGTCACAGATCACCCGGAAGCAGGTCAAATGACGAAGTACTTAACCAAAAAATTGACACATCACAAAAAAATTGGTACGAGACCGAAAACGGTTACATCAATTGGCACCATCTATGGGAACACGCGCAAATTATCTCATTTAGAGGGCAGTCGGGTTGCACTCCACCAGGGAGCTCGCCACCAAGGTAGTGCACCCAACAGCTCATCAAGGTAGCTCACCACCAGGGAGCTCGCTACCAAGTAGCTCACCACTAGGCAGTTCGCCATCAGGGAGCTCCACCATCCTCTGAGTCACAGGTCACCCGGGAGCAGGTCAAATGACGAAGTACTTAGCCAAAAAATTGACACGTCACAAAAAAATTGGTACGAGACTGGAAACGGTTACATCAATTGGCGCCATCTATGGGAACACGCGACAAAAAGCTAAGTTCTTATCCTACAAAGGCTAAGTTCTCATCCTACAAAAAGCTAAGTCCTCTCCTCCCAAAAAGCTAAGTCCTCACTTTTTAGAAACTGAAGCTCTCGCTTTGTAGTTTCCATTTTGTATGAACTCAAAGACTATGTAGGGAGCTAACAGACTAAGCAGCTCTACCAACTTTACTTTCAATTCAGATAAAACCTCGTCAGTCCTCTTCGTGAGGTCCCCCTACAAAGATGAGCTCTTCGCGGCTTCCGCAGGAGTTGGCGGCCAACAGACTACATGGGCGCCCTTGCTGATCGAGCCTTCCAAGGCTCCCGAGTGAGCTGGTGACCTAAAGTTAGTAGTGGGTGACTGGCATTACGAGGCTGATGCAGCGCAATCATAGCTCTAAGGCACCCACCTGGTTAGCTCGGCACCTCATAGGTAGCTCGGCACCCAATCATCCCGACACCTCA